CTAAGGCAAGTTCTGGAGTTAAGGAAGCATCTTTTTCTACACTACACCGACAATAGGTTAAAACAGGCTCACTAAAAGCAATACAAGAGCTGTTATAAAAGCTCAGTGAGGCAATGGTGTAAGGAGGAGTAGAAGTAATGTGTGGAGAGTTATAAGCTCCAGGGTCACGGGGTCAGGACTGAAACCTGACATCACGCCTTGAGTATGCAGAGCAAAAACACATGTCTGCAAAAGCCCCGGCAATAGTCGGGTAATTTATGGGTGTTATAGTGGACTTAACCTCTGTGTGTCTTCAATAAAAACCAACACTGTGAGATATGGAGTGACTCTCGCCACTTCTTATGTCATCCTTGATTAACCGAGAGCCTGGAACCTCTCCAGAAAAAACATAAAGCAAGAGGAATGTAAATCAGTGACTTGCAATAAATGAGTTTAGTGAGTCAAAATTGAAATTAAACATGAGCTCAAGCGTTTGACAGCTCTAAATAAGATCTGAAAGCTGTGACTACTTTGAAGTAAATCAGGGTGTTTGCATATACTTGCAGGCTATAGGTGAAGCCTCTGGTTGAGCTATTTTAGAGCATGTCATTTCAAGTCTTACTCTGCTGGGTTTTAATGACATGGTTCAAGACTTTGTGAGCCACATGAGCATGACTGAGAAGTAGAAAGAAGAAGAAGAGGGAGAAAGAAAAAAAAAAAACTGTCCAACCCCTCTGAAGATTTCCTGTTTCATGAAATGTGCACATACTGTGAGTCATATAGGGCAAGTCCTGCCTGGTGTGTTTACTCTGCTTCTCCTACCCGGAGCTGTGAAGACTTACAGCCGGACCGGATAGAAGTCCGCGGAGTCTGGATATTAACCCGTTGTCAAGGCTCTTCGCTAAATTAATGAGAAAGAGAGGAGTGTATAGTCCGTTTCTAAATGGAGCTACTTCGGTTTTCCGCTTTTTGGTGTGGAGCGATACTCTTTGGTAGTATTCTGCTCGTGGAGGCGGGTGAGTTGAACTTTAAACTTGTAGAAAAGTTTTGGAAGCCGCGGCTCCCCTTTTATCACAGCTGCGCAGTAGTTTGAGGAGAATGCATGAAGCCGTTATCGAGCGCTACAAAGTCACACAAATGGTCTCCTTTTGGGAAAATATGATAAACTTATACTCATTATTTTCACACAGGTGTTTTTTTTTTTACACGGGCTTGTTATACATTATTACATTTTAACGCTTTTAATTTAAATAAACTGATAAGAACAACAGCCTGCCCTTATTTAGCCATATTCAACAAGTCTTTGTCTTACTTGCTAGCACGGCTAATCATGTCTTCCTGAAAATTAATGTCTGTTTACAATGTGTGTGTGTGTGTGTGTATAGGTGTGTGTGTGTGTGTGTGTGTGGCTCTTGAGAGGACATCACCTGTTGGAAGTCACAGCCTTTAACCCACCTCCTCCCTCCCTCCCCCCCTCACCTTCCCTCTCAGATGGCGCTATCTCCATCTTTGATGTGTAGCCACATTGCTAACAGGTCTAGCAGTCCTGCTTTACCTTTATCTGTCTCAAGACTCAGTCCCAGCGGCACCAAGTGGCTTTGGCTGCTCCTAATCCTCTTTCCCCCTCACTGCAATTAGATGTAGCCCTGGGTGACAATTACTACCATTCATCCCTTCCATGGCCCGCCTCCTGGGTTTAAATGACATGCTCTTTCAGAGGAGTTGCTCTAATGATATAATTACTCCGGCTCAACCACCTTCCCACCACCAGCACTCAGGCATGGACTATCCCCTCAGAGCTGATTTACTTCAAAACACCTCACCAGCCCGGCAGGCAGAGTTTTTAAATTGCTCTGTCAAGTAGTTAAGTCTGGAGTTCAAGTATAATATTTTGATGTTTTTATTTGGGAGTCTCACCCGTTAAGACAAGGCCAGAAAGCAATATCCTGTTGGCTTATGTGAAAAGTGTCTTGTGAGAGGCAGCAGGAGCAGGATGTCATCAGAGTACAGTGCTGTAGATTGGCTGCTCTTTCACGCTGCAGGTTGTGCTATATTTCTGCTGCAAACTGCAGGTCTAACCCCACCCGGGCAGACTGGGTTAAACAACACAGTAGGCTTTTTGTGCCGGGTTAAGAGCGCACACATGCACACACGTACACACAGCAACTTTTCCTCAAGTCGGTGTGAAGTCAGGGGAGAACGGATACTGAACAAACTTCTTCGTCTGCTTTCACTTCCCGATCTAAATCATCTCACTTTCGGGTCATGTAAACGAATTCTTGTCAGTGCTACTGTTTTCAGATACACCACACGTTTGTTCACAGTGCCTCCTCGGGAGTTGTGTTTCCTGGTACAAACAACAGGTGCACTTCTTGTGCACATGAAGTCTGCGTACAGTTGAAGTGTGGTTTTGCGGTTTTACTGTCACGTGCAGCACTGTGGTTCTGTGTTCATTTCCTCTTGTTTTTTTCTGGTTAGACTTTTAATTTCGTTTTTGTTTTCATGAATTTTACAGACCTGTAAGGAGTTGTCATCATGTGGCAATTTCTTTTTTTACCCTCTGTTTACTCAATAGACTCACGGCAAGTGGCCTAACTTTATCTTCACCGCTTGAGTCTAAGTTGTGTACACTTGTACAAAATCACGTGGGATTGTCTGTCTTCTTCCCTCAACCACTGGTGCTAGATTGATCATGGGAAATTTGGAATATCCTCTTTTTTAGGATCATTTCCCACTCTTAAAGCCACAAGATCCACTTTCCACTCGTACTTTAATGTGGTTGGAGTCCTCCTTTAGGCAAAGGAAAAGCAGAGAGATTGTTCAGCTTCCTTGTTGCTCCATATCTTCTTTCTACGCCAAACAGAGGCATGCAGCCTGGCAGATTTTTATCATGAACAGCTTCTCAATGCATGCAGACTGCAGTCGGAGGATTTCTGCACGGAGGCAAACATTCACCAACACATACACACATTTCTGTCCCTCTCCAAACATTCATAGATACGTAAGGTCGCCCTCTTTTTTTGATATTTATGAACAGAGTTGGCTGAACACCTCTCAAGATGGTGAGCCGACTCATCGGCTTGACAAATTAGAGACTTCTCAGCGAGGAGATGCATCCGTGTTTCCTTTGTTTGTTGTTCTTGCCTGTCTGGCAGTTGTCTCCTTAGATGATTATCAAACCCACAGGCACTCATCACACAATCCTGTCTGTCTCTCTGATATGGGTCTCCCTGCCGGCAAAGTCAAGTCTGAACAAGACCAAAGGAGGTGGATGCCACTGCATGCTGCTCTTATTGTTCAGGCTTCACAGGGGAAAAATCTGTCAAGCCCTCTAGGATGAAATAGTTTAGATTTTTTCGTGGTTATGTTGAATATCTGCTTCTACTTAGTGCCAAATTCCAAAAGACTCCTTCCCTTTAATTCAATTTTAGTTTTGCTAATGTTAATAAATATTCCTTTTATTGATCATCATTGAAGTGTGTTTGCCAATTCTGATGTCAAATGTTGCTTATTTAATCCAATTGCACATAAGGAAATGGGCTTGAGTCTGTTTTAAAAGCGAAAACTCACCGTCTCTCCTCTCCTCCCCTTCTCCTTCCTTTTTTCCAGAAGCCAGTATAATGAAGCTAAAAAGGCTGTGCAAGTTCTGTGACGTGCAAGCAACGAGCTGCGCAGGTAAAGGGAGATGCAAGGTGGACTGTGACATCACGTCCATCTGTCCCGATAAACAAGATGTGTGTGTCAGTATCTGGTAAGTGTCCAATTATCTAAACACAATGGCTGGACCACATTTCTATATAAATGAAAGCAAGAGTTATGATGCAAAAGGGTTTAAGACTTGAATAATTAAGTTACTTAAGTCTTACAACATTTACAGACAAAGAAGTGAGGAAACGAGGGCATTTCCTCCCCCTAAAAGTTCTTCCTTGGAGTGACCTTTTCCTTTGAACACTCTGTCAGGCAGCATTCTGGTTAAGACAGATGACTGGATTATGATGGCACATGAACTTCTAACTGCCCATTGAATCTGACTGTGAATGTGAGAAGCAGCAGGAAGCAGATTTGTGTTGGTGTTAAAAGCTTAAGGCTGCGCTGCTGCTGTTTCTCATTATATTAGCGATGTTGCGGGCACGTTATGAGCTGAGGTCAGCGGAAATGGACAGCAGCACCTCTTTAAAATGTTTCTCACAATGGTGCACAGCAGGGAAACACAATTTAAATATGTACATTTGTGCAGGTTCAGGATTTTTCCTGTTTCCTGTTTGTAAGTGTGACTTCTGTATTGCAGTCATTTGCATAATGCTGAGGCTGTGGTCCACTGAAAGAGACAAATAGGCCATTTACAGATACCACTTTTTGCTGTATAGCTGAAAAATTGCATTATTTGCACAACTGTAGATCTGCTATCATTGCCTTGTTACATGTTAATACAGATCTCTGAAAAGGGGACTTCATTGCCAAAATAGTTGTAAGACTACAAACTTAGTCCAGTAAATGGCAGTATTTTCTATGTGTGTTTTCTCTTTCCAAGGAGGAAGAAAGATGACAACATCACCTTTGATACAGTCTGCCACAACCCAGCTCAGAGGCTCTATGGCTTGGTCCTGGAGGATTACAACAACAGCAAGTGCGAGATGAAAGAAATAAAGGGCATGGGCTCACAATTCTTCATCTGTTCCTGCTCTGAGGATGAGTGCAATGAGCATATCTTCTTTAGCTCCAGTAAGTGAGACACAATTATGTCACCTAATAATCCTTTATTTCAATTCACTCTTCAGCTTAGTGAGTGTCTTTATCTGATGTATTTTTTGTCAATTGTGCCTTTTTAAAATAGCATAATAGTGATCTGGTAAGATGCATCCATTGTGAAATACCATACTGTTAATGTTTCCTAACATGCAATGACAATAAACTCTCCTCTTCCTGACATTAAAGGAGTAGTTCAGCATTTTGAGAAATTAAATATGGAGCAACAACCAGCAGCCACTTAGCTTAAATTAATGTAGCATAAACACTGGAGCATGTGAAACAGCTAGCTTGCCTCTGTCACAAAGTAACAAAATCCATCTAGCAGCAAAAAAAACAAAACAAAGTCAGGCTAGCTGTTTCCGCCTGTTTACAGCCTTTATGCTAAATTAATCTACTCATCTAACACTCTGCAAAAAAAGCAAATAAATGCATTTCCGACAAGTCTATCTCGCTCTTGTATCAGTAGTTTTCTTTCACAGTAGAGCAATAGTGCATGTAAAAATAGGACTCTTCAGATCTTACATCTGTACAACATAACATGGTAACGTCATAGTCATGGTCATGGCCTAATAATATTGTGCCAGTTTCCATCAGCTTGTCATGTAAGGCGTCATGCATGAATGCTAACACGTGTGCACTGTAATGCTCTCCAGATACATGATTACAAACAGCTTTTTGGAGACATTGGCTTGTAGACTCCAGTTACAACACTAGCCCTGGAATCAGATGTATTTTGACTACAGCATCCAGGCAATAATAACACTGAGGTACATTTCCGAGACCTGGCTCTGCACAGAGAGCCAAATTGAAAGCATCTGCATAGTACAAACCACGTAATGGAAATACATTTTCGTACTCTTGAGAATGTCTGGTCTCCCTGTTACTTCTCAGTGACTAACATGAGACAATGTTGTAATAAAGCTCTTCAAGGAGAAATAACAACTACAAGGCATCATTGCCAGTAAATGTGGGTGACTCTACCTCTTCCTGAGAACTGAGATTGAGATTTGATTCACAATATTTTTTTCCCATAGCTGAAGGACACTGCACAAAACATCTCAAAGCCGTTACTTAAATCTACGACAAGGAGTTTTTAACTGGTTATGAAACAGTCTCAATTTAATACTGATTCCTCTATATGACCTACATAAGCACACAAGGCCATCAGCGAGAAAACTGGGTATTTCTTCTTTAAAGTTATTCTTAATTCTTTGCCGAGGGGTTAGATTCAGTCAGATTCCCTTCAAAATTATAGAAACAAGGCAGTAGAACCACTGCCGTATAGTCCACAGTTGCTGCCGTTACAGGAAATAGTGAGTTGTTTGCCACATACCAGATGAAATACCTGAGTTTCTATGGTAACATCCACCTCTATTTATGCAATTGCACTGCCACCCTGATAAATAGGCTAATGGTGTTACATACAAAAACTAATGGACATGACAAGAAGGATACAAAAGTAGTTTTAACTTGAGAACAAGAAGCTTGTGATGCTAGAAAAATAAGCAAAAACACAATTCTACACCAAAAATTAGAATACTATATCCAGTACCAATTGGGTATTTTGACAGAGCGTGTTATTTTTACATTACTGTTGGGTTTCTGGATCAAAACAGCCTTTCTGTTGAGTACCAAACACAGCATACCAATCCCTCAATTTCAACATTATGACTCACTGTAATTCACACTTTTTGCCACTCACAGAGCCTTTTCTTCCAAACATTCAATATTTCATACTTTAAGTGAAGGTTTTGGCCAAAGCTGAGCGAGTCCGGGAGGCACAGGGACAGGTTTGTTGTGAGAAATAGCTTCTCACTCTATGAAAATAAAAACAAACTGGCTGGGGCCATGTTGAGGATTTCAGACATGTGGTTTCCTGTTTAGAAAAAAAAAAAATTAGAGGGAATCAGAGGGCTCGACTGGGCAGCCAGCAAGATGCCTTCCCTATTCGTCTTGTGAGCACATTTCTGCTTTCAAACTGCCCCACAACCAAAATCTTCCACTAGATTTAAAAATGAAAGCGTGTAAAAGCTGGCCATTTTAAAATGGAAAATGTTTAGGAAAGTTGTGTGGCATTCTAGACAAGACGACATACTGTATAAATGATTAAATTTAGAACTCATCAAACTGCAGACCAATTGGGGTTTTCTCATTTAGTATGTTGTGTCTGGTGATATTGTTTTTATAGGTCTCCTTTTATGGCTGCAGCTTCAAAAACTGGACCATAAACACAGTACAAGCATAAACTTTCACTGTTTGCCAAAACCGAAGCAGCTCCCAGACACACCACGTCCTAAATTATAAGAATCAGACATGTACTATAAAGAGACACAATATGTGGTTGACTGGGTCAGGGTTTGGAGCAGTTTGCCTTTGTGGCCCAGACGCTAACTTTAGCTCTCTGATGCTTATAGACATTCCACAGGGATGGGTCAGGTTCCTCTGCTGCTCTGAGAATATTACTTTACTCTTAGCTAGATGCTGATCTGCAGGGGAGGAATTTGAGTTTCATTTCTTTATATTGTGGGCGACAAATTGTTTTACATATTAAATCGTTCCAAAAGAAGCACAAGTGGAAAAATACAGTGTTTAGAAAGAAAATTAAACCTATTTTAAACTATACAAATGTGGTTGACAAAGTAATCTCCATGTTGTAGCTGCACTGGAGCTTTTGATCAGTTTACATGATCTTCTATGCAAGTAAGTGAATCTACCCATTGAGTAAAGTGTACAATGGGTTAATTGGAGCATTTTTGCTGAAAACAGCTGCCTGCTGCATTTGGAAAGGGGGTGAGAATGAACCAAACAGTAAATCCGTAAAACCAAAACAATGTGTTGAAAGATGCTAAAATGCTCTATAGAGCCAAGGAGAACTGCAGAGTTGACTATATTTGTCAGTACAAGCGACGCCTTCACACTGCACATTGTCATGATCATCATTTTAATCCTTTTGATTTTTGTTCCCTCAGACATGGATTCCCAGGTGGTGGCGGTCATCTTAGTGAGCCTGGTGCCTCTGCTCGTTGTGGCTGTTGTCGTCATCACTTCCTTCTACTGTTACCGGGTCTACCGCCAGCGGCAAGCCACCTCCAAGCGCAGGAGGGGTCCTCCGCTGGACTTCAGTGACGGTCGCGCCATCATGATAGACGACGAAGGTTCAGACAGTAGCTCCACACACGCCAACAACCTCAACCACAACACCGAGCTGCTGCCCATTGAACTGGATGTGCAGGTTGGAAAAGGACGCTTCGCAGAAGTTTACAAAGCCAAGCTTAAGCAGGGCTCCTCAGTCAGCGAGGAGCAGGGCTTTGAGACAGTGGCTGTTAAGATTTTCCAGTATGAGGAGTACGCCTCCTGGAAGAGTGAGAAAGAAATTTTCTCAGACGCAGACTTGAGACATGACAATGTGCTTCACTTCCTGACAGCAGAGGAAAGGAAGGTGCAGAGACAGTACTGGCTGATCACAGCCTACCATCCAAGAGGAAACCTCCAGGAGTACTTGATTCACCATATTATCAACTGGCACGACCTGTGGATGCTGGGAGGCTCGCTAGCGTGTGGCGTGGCGCACCTCCACAGTGACCACACTACTTGCGGTCGCTACAAGGTGCCCATCGCACACAGGGACATTAAGAGCTCCAACATACTTGTGAAAAGCGACCTGACCTGCTGCCTGTGTGACTTTGGCCTCGCCCTCCGCCTGGACAACAGTCTGTCTGTGGATGAGCTGGCCAACAGTGGGCAGGTAAAGCCTTCTAATCCTGAATTTGGGGGTTTATTTGGTTTTACTTGGCTTTCGATCCCCTCGGCGATTAAAATAAAATTCTCTCCCCTTTTTGCTGGCAGACACAGGCCATTCCAAGTCCTGTCATATATTTCTTTAAAGATATTTATTAGACCCTAAAAAGAGCTGTGCTATCAATCAGAGGTTTTCATTTTTGATCCTCATCACTCAGGACACCATCTTTTAATATTTGGCACCCTATATATCTTGGCCCCAGATGGCTAATGCAGATAGAAATAGTGCTGGAAGTGTTCTTAGGTTGTCGTTTTATTACATTCACAAGACAAACAGGCTTGATTGATTCTTAATGGACTCATTACGCTGGTGTAATAGGCCATAGTCATATTAGACTCTGTTATGAAAATGAGTCATTATGAAAAGGCCTCACCTTGCTGCGCAGCACACCTAATGCATTGTAATGCTCTCAGTGCATTTTCCAGGTAGCGCCAGTGAACACATTGTCCAAGGTGGTAATTATGGGAAGACAAGCAGCGTGTTGTTGAGCCCAGAGCTACCATTGTTTTTCCAATTATCTTATACATCAAACATGTTTAAAATTCATATAAATGTGATATGACATCTTACTGCAGCGCAAAATTACCACCTGTCACTTGATTAATGCAGGTAAACAACTCTTAGTGCTAAGATGGTCTACTTAGCTATGCTTTATCACCCAAACAACTCCTGTTTAGTGGTAAAAATCTAGTCATTGATTAAAAACAGTGATTTAAGTGTGTGGATTACCAGCTCCCCTTAAAGCCATACACAACAGTATTATACATCAATTTACCATTTACATCATCTGTGGTATCATGGTCTTACATATAAATCTTTTTCTTTTTGTTTTTCTCAGGTGGGAACAGCCAGGTACATGGCCCCAGAGGTCTTGGAGTCCAGAATCAACCTAGAAAACATCGAGTCCTTCAAACAGGCTGATGTGTATTCAATGGCTCTTGTACTGTGGGAGATCATCTCCAGGTGTAACGCAATTGGAGGTAAGACACAATCAGACACACGACTGTAGGATAAAATGTTGTTTTGATCAGAGGCACGACTGCGCTGTCGGAGGTAGATCGCAATCACAGAATTTAGTATTGAGTAAAGAGCTGCTGTGCCACAGTGAGAGAAATTATTTCATGGTAGTGTTAGATCAATATTTTAATTTGAAGGCTAATGCAGCAACTTTTGATGGAAGCTGCTGAGACCTCATATTTTGTGGATTTTTTTAAAAATGTTAACATGTTTACTTTTTATGCCAAATGATTTCATCACATTTGTCTAGTAGAGCAGTCGTACCATGAGATATCAAAACCTCCACTGAGACCTGATCAAAACATTTTGCCTTTTTAGATTGAGCAGCTTTAAGTAGATGGATTAATTAAGCTTTAAATGAATTATTCATTGATATAAAACATTACTTAAAGATCAAATGTATGAATAAAATTAGCAAAAACAACAACTCCTTTATAGATTTTGCAGAAAGACTCTTAATGTCTGTAGCTGTGTTTAAGGAGGATATAGAGACCAAAACAGGCTTATATCCATGTTAAAGTCAGTTTAATGCTTCTACATAGCAAATATTTGAAAAAGAGTGTGTGATAGCCATCGAGCTTGTCCCTCTTCAAAGAATACTGGGACAACTAGAAAGCTAAAGTCAGTGTCTTGTTCAAAGTAGATACAGATATTTCTTATCATGAAGGACGATGAACATCTTAAAGGAATAGTTTTAGCATAGCTTAGCATTAAGACTGGAATGAAACAGCTAGCCTGTCTTGAAAAGTAAAAAAAAAAAGCACCTACCAGCTGCTCTAAGGTGAGACGCAATGGCTTCCCAGGGTCATGTCTTCAACGGGAGGTTGCCAGGAAGCCGGCAGAGACACCATAAAGTCACTGCCTCCAGCTGAAAAAATAGTCCCCCTGTAAAAGCACAACTTGACAGACATGAGAGTGGGATGGATTTCCTCTCTAATTCTCAACAAAAAAAGCTACTAAACGTATTTCCCAAAATGTTGAACTATTCCTTTAATCGGTATTCCACTTTGCTGCCCGAGGTTTTATGTGTGTTTATTGTGATCAGTCGTGTTTGTTGCCTAAATGTGATATTTCTGACTGCCTGACTGGTGGTGCCCCCACTGTACACACAGTAAACAGCACTTGTGACCTTTACTGTAGTTAATAATAGAGATAACGGCATTTTCCTTGGTAAATTAGGGATTAGCCTGCGTCGGTTCAGTGTAAAGGAAATCAATAGAAGCACTGATTGATGAAATTCCCTTTGGGGCCTGTGTAAATATCCTCAGAAATACTGTAAAAAGAAAGACTTCCTCCGCAGCTCGCTTGACCTCTAAGGAATACCAGCCCATTAATGACTTCACCAATTAGGAGCGCAGTGACCGACTCCACCTTGAGTTCACTTACTGGATGTGTGACACCGTGCGACAGGACTTATGTGTGTGCCGTCCACGACCCATTACTCACTGTGGGAACAAAATCTAAAACTGTCAAACGCACAATCCATCTTGTAGCAGTCTCAAGGATCAGCCTTCACTTGACTAATGCACCGTTGCTTGTGTTTGTCATTCTGTAGCAAAAACAAGGCCAGGATATGTGCAAATAATAGAAATGGTTGATTATCTGAAGGCAAACCGCAGGGCAGTATTTCATGTCGACACTCCGTCGTTTGTTTTTCACTTCCCTTTAGTGTCTCTGTGGTCCGGCTTGTTTCTGTGACTGCTCCTGTCTCCATTGTGTCAGAGCAGTGATTGAAAGCCGGGTTTGGGCATGAACGCTTCTACTTTGGCGTTTTCCTGTTTTGCCCCATCGATCTTCCCAGGGGGCCTCCTTGAAGTGTATCGCACAGTTACGTTGCCCAAGAGTCCTCTCAAGAAAAAACATGGCTGAGTGACCCACAATTCCCCTTGCTTTTCCTTCCCAACAGCAAGAATATTCGTGCCCTGAGGGTACACCTTTGAAAAGAAAATAGTCTATTTCCTGTTTTGCAAAGAGCACAGTTCTCAAGATGTGCTGTTCTCAGAGCGAGCGTGTAAGAATGGATGTCTCCTTTAAATGAGGATGTTTTGCGGCTAATGTCTCATGAGAGCGGAAAAGACAGGATACATGTTGGTAGAGACGGACTAAACGAATCCAGGCTCACTGGATAAAGGTTAGCGTGGCTTCACTTGATTTCCTCTTGAGGGATTTGACGGAGAACAGCTTTATTCATCCCACTCATCCTCCTACACCCATTTCATTTATTTCTGAGTTCATTTCCGAGTCTTTCGTTCCTTTACTGCGCATTTATTTACATCTCCACAAACAGACACACTGTTGGGACCCAGTTTGAACACATTTTCTGTCCTTGCACAGAAACTGTGTCATTCTCTGCTTCAAAACTTTCAGCTCAGTTTATCTACATTGTTTCCCCCCTCTCTCTCTGTCTGTCTTTTTCTTCCTACCCTCAGGCAGGTAAGGCAGCAGTTAATTACTCTCCCACTGCACTATAACACTGTAGACAGCCATCCAGCTTTACTCATGCCGGCACAGACAGACAGGGAGGACAGCTAGCATAGATTTACTGGAGAGAGGGGAAGCAGAGGGGTTCCCGTCCCACCCCTGGACCATAATAGAGACTATAGATGGAAGCAGATGGAATATTTTCTGTGTCCACTTTTTCTAGACTTGGCATCTCTCCGAGACGAGCAGAGGGGTGAAATCTGTAGTTCATTAAGGCCAAAACTCAAGGAGACGTTGATCATTCATGATTCATGCTGAGAGGTTAAAATGTTGTACAAACACAGCCAGCCTCCTACCTTGATAAACCCTGAGGAAGGTGGAAAGAATAAGCTGCGTAAATGAGATGCAGTAATTTGGTTTTGCTTCACTGGCAGCAAAAACAAAATCTCCTTGCAGATAGTGTTCTGGCAGAGATCTGGTATTGATTCGGGAATCAGAGCACCACGAGAGTAAAACTGTGTTTACAGAGAGTTTCATGCTTTCACGCTGTTGGTCTATTGTTTTTGCTGAAGTTGCCAAGTTGTCCCTGGAGGTTGGTGAGTCACTAATGACACCCTGAGTACTCACCTCACTTGAGACAAAATATGAAACACGTGTGCACACACAGAAATTCAGAGTGACAGATCCTAGGGCATCATTATAATGAGTGGGGTGAAGCCCTGGTTTCCTCTTGTCTTTCTTGTCTGTTGCCACCTGCCTGTGTGTGTGTCTGTGGAAGACAGATGTCTGATCAGCGCGCTGCGTCTCAGTGGCAAGCAGCCACATAGCCGCTCTGTCACAGCTCCTGGGGCCGTGGTCTGATCTGAGATCCGCCAGGCAAGGAGAACACAGCCGTCTGTCGACAGCGACAGTCAGCCAGCCATGAGCCATCACTTTGCTTTCTTTATCTTCCAAGACTATACAGACAGAGGAAGAGGAAGAGTGAGAGGGAAACAGAGATCAACACACCTGGGAGAGAAGAAAAATCTAGATTCAAGGCTCAGGCCTTTTTTTATCTCTGACTCTGTTCCCTAAAATGTCTCTCCTGTATAATTTAGCTGGTCCAGATTTAGGGCTTGGAAAGTCTGTGAGGGCGTTCCTCAGGCGGGTGGGGCTATGTAGGGGGATAATAGTGGAGTGGTGTTGAATGTGGAGTTGCAGACTGAGAAATGCCTTCAGTCCCTAGAGGGAGAGGTTGGGCTAGACTGGAGAGGAGAAGAGGTTAGGGCAGCTGCTCTCCAGATGTCAGACCATCAACTCCTCCAGGACTGGAGGGCCCGATGGTATGGTGTGTATGTGTATGTGTATGTGGGGGGTCTTCCATAGTCTGCATTTGGGGACAAAGTTTGGATTTCAAACCACTTGATTGTGGATGAATTTGGGACAAAATGTGTGTGCCCAATTTGGTTTCACTGAAGTTGAATCCAGCACGAGCTAAAATAGTTTCTTTTGGTCTTCTTTAATGGGGTTAGGTGAAGGTTAGGGCTTGTATCAGTTAATGGTAGGGTAAGGCTCCAGAGTAAGCCAGTGCCATATGTCCAACATTAAGCTCTGCTAACGTGTATTGTACATGCATACCTCTGTAGCAAATGACTTTAACAACCTGTGAGGAACACAAACAAGTGTCACAGCCACCGCGGCCTAATGAAAACCAGCAGAGGCAGCTGGAAGTAGATTAGTTGAGCTTTTGTTGTAGACTCAGACAGCCTCTGACAAACAGACAATGTTATTGTGATCACATTACTAATTTATTTCCAAGTACATGTCGAAACTCCGTGTGGATCTGTTTTTCTGAATTATTTATGTGTTTAGGTGACAGGACTTCTGTTCTTTTTTTCAGTGCTTACGCTTTGTTGAGCATAATTAGACACAAATGTTAACTTGGAAGGGCAGCAGAACAAATTTCACACGCTGGAATGGCTTATGCTCGTTTCTCTCATTTTTGTTTTGGTCCTGTTTGGCTCCGTACTGCAGTTTGACCTTAACATCTGAATCAAAACAAGTCATAGGTTAATGAACGACAAACCAATGAAGTGCAGCACCTGGTCATTCCCTGAAAGATATCAAAGAGGGCATTTCGTCACTATGGCAACGTGACTGGCATGGATGTGCAGTATATCGCAAAGCTCCTGAACCGACGTTCATTGAGTTGTTTCCCCAGACTGCCGTTGTGGCTAAATTTAACTGAATTTCTTTTGGCTGCAGACTCCCAGACAGTTTCTACAGGCATGCCTGACAACTGGCGTGGAAAATAGACATTAAGGATGAAATATGTGCTAGCATTGCAAAATTCACATCACAACATGTCAGCTGTCGTAGGAGACATAGTCTAAGTTCCACATTGTTACCGTGCCGAACTTGTTATATTGCTTCGCAGGAATACTGTCAATATGCTGTGTGTGACTTTTGCAAACCGCAGCATTCCTCCCTCGCCCTGTGTTGTGTTTTCAATAGCTTTTGCTAGTTCAGAGTTTAATTTAAGGTTTGCCTGGTAAAACCATCTGTCCTTTTTAGAACAGGATTGGCCAATCTTCCCATCCTGGAATAACACTGTTGTTTACACTGCAAAGCGCTCAGATTCATATATTTTGGAGCCATTGTTCGGGGATGAACACATAAACATGTTTGCAAAACAGTTTACAACGTGGATTTGCAGCGTAGCACACATTATACACTCCCCCGGACCTGTCAAAACAAAAGATCTGTCACCTTTTCTCTTAAATGCTGATTGGGTGGGGCAGTGTTTAAGCTTTAGTACCAAAGCAGAGCAACTTTGCTTGCCAAAAAAGTTTCAGCCTCTGAAAAGAGTCTCCTGTTGCACTAGTCTGACTCCCAGAAGCCTCCAATTCCTGTCTGTGGCATTCATAACTTCCTGTACTGTAACATTTCTCTCTTTTAAAACTGTGGTTCATCCTAAAAAATATATACTATTCCAGTAGTTTATTCCAATCAAACTCTTTTTTCATGCTGTATATTTAGTCATTTACTCACAAGACGTGTCAGTTCATGTGCAGAGACAGCATGTTGTCATCGTGACTGGACGGGTTTCTCCAGAGCTTGCTGGCTCCGGCTGGCGCTGCTTCGTTCCAGTCATGTAAACTCTGTGGAACAGATTTACAGATGGGAAAGCGCAGGACAAATCTCCACTGTGCCTTTCTTTCAGTTTACAATCTGTGTGTATTTGAAGCCAGATACTTTTTAACACCAGCTCATTACGCAACCAGTGACTGGCACTGTCTTGTAGGTGTATTGTTTGAGCAACTGAGAGCGCAACGAGGTCCAGCTTTAACTTTGTTTAACATCTGTACGCTTAGGAAAAATAAATTGTAATTAAAGAAACAACAGAAACAGGTTTCACTACAATAGAAAGATAAATCCTATATTCAAATAAAAGAAATACCTCTACATTACAGTAGAGTAATTAAAAGCAGCTAAACAGCCTGTAACAACCTAAATACCTACCTGAATATCATCATTTTAGTCACTGTGTAGACAGACAGGTTTAAGCTTGTAGTTAAAACTGAAAACTGCAATAACAATGTAGTGTATGTAGTCTAGCAGTACATGTCTATCTTCTAGGTATAGGGATATAGATATAGGATGGAGGGATAATTGTGTCCAATAACAGTCAACACTGACAGTCAATTTAAAGCAGACTAAAAACAGAAAAGTGTAAATTGTGTCTGTTTTCAGTTTGAAGGCTTCTGTCTGTCTTTGCCGAGGCGTTATTTTCGGAATGCCGTGTGATTCTCAAACTGCTATTTCATCTCCTGGTCATCTTTTAATTACTGAAAATCCGCTCGAGCTAATTATTCACTTCAACATTCTTCACACAGTCATGTGCCTCATCGGGCTTCTCTTATCTCGGTGGATTCTCTGAAACTGGTGTTTTCTTTTATACGAGCCCGCCACGCTTCAGAGCAAATTGGAATTTGATTTGTTGTTTTACTCCGAGGATACATGAATTCATGTAAGATAAACCGTCTCTTTGGAAACTCTTGACCCGCAGTTTCCGGACTATATTCTCCATGCCAGTGCTTTGAAATCCTGCCCTGAGTAAACTCAACTGGTAAATTGCCTTTGACAAGCACCCTGGATTTTGTTGTGTAAGAGAGCTGACACAAAGCCAGAGCTGCGTTGGTGAGATACTTTAAGCTCCTTGACGCTGAGGGTAAAAATGTGATAATAATAAGTGTTTCTCTTCAGCAAATCTCCCCCTCGGCCCCTCTATCAGCAGCACAGGATTCTTCTAGTTGTTTGTGCTGCTTCAGTGCTATTTAAAGTTTGCAACCTGCAGTTTTAATTTAGAGCGCACAGTGAATCCTTTGAGAGGTGTTGTTGATGTGTGCGCTGTGGGGCACTGCCATCTGATCTAGTATCTCTTTTCAGCTGAGCTGTATCTTCCACTACAGCTTTCAAAGTGTATTGCCTGAATAAAACAGCTCACCCGATTGTTAAGGTCACAGACTAATTTTTCTGAACTTCTCTTGTTTGCGTGTGCAGATGTGAAAGAGTACGAGCCACCCTTTGGGAACCTGAGGGAACATCCATGTGTCGAGAGTATGAAGGACAGCGTCCTCCGAGACAGAGGAAGACCCGAGATCCCCGACAGCTGGCTCAACCACACAGTAAGAGGCCCTTTTAGTTTAAAGTTAAAATTTAACGTAAAGTATGGTTACTGCTACTCAGATATGATGTCAAATGAACCAGAGTCATCTTGTTCTGTTTGCAACAGCTGTCTACCAAAAGTAGACAATCTGCTAAGTGTTTTATGGTTATTTGGGCTTTTAAAACATACCCACAATGAAACAATTAGCAAATAAAAGTTTTATTAACTCGCTAGCTCTCTCTCATTCTCTATTAATGCCTTCAGCTCGTTTGAACGTACTCTCTCCCTTTATCTTTTTGTAACTAGTCAGGGAGCTGAAAACATAACTTTGTTTTTAACATTAATAAGAAATGTCGATCCAATGTCCCAATAGTGATGCTAATGTCATCCAATAAAGGAAGCTGTACACAAGCTGTAACAGCCACTGTGTGTGTTTGACCAATCTGTGATGTTCAGCCCTGAAAACTACACTCTGAAAGTTCCTGAACCATTAGAAAGTACAACTCTCAGAGCAGGGACCTGTAACTGTTGTACAGGAGCTATATTTAGTTCCTAGTTCTGCCAGTCAAGCTTCTTTGTCTCCTGGGAAAGTTCTTGCAGTTCAAAATAATTGTGTCTATTTCCACACTGGTGTAAGGCCAGCAAAAGGGTAAACATAGGTAGATTGCTCATTTAATTTGGCCTGAATTGGGGATTTTTTGGGACATTGACCTGTTTTGTGACGTCATGACACACATTAAAGTTGCATAAGTTGCCTTAAGCTTCTGTCTGCATTTGCTGTGTCAAAACATTTGCTGTGTTAAATCCTTACAATATATGGTAGTCTAATATACAAAAACATGGTGGTTATCGTTGTGTTAGTAAGGTAAGATACAGTTAATATGATGATTTTCCCAGAGCAGTAGCTATTTTCTGTTAAAAGTACCCTGTGGAGGGTGCCCTGGTAGCTCGCCTCGTAGAGCTGGCGCATCATGTACCGGGGCTGGGTCCTTGCTGCAGTGGCTTGTGTCCGACCCTTGGCCCTTCGCTGCGTGTTGTTCCCTCTCTCTGTCCCCCTTTCCTGTCTGTTGTCCTGTCAAATAAACACAAAAAGCCCCCCCAAAAATATAGATACAAAAATAAATACCTTTTTTACTTACATCTAGTAACAATATGGAGCAGTTTTTTGGGGTCTTAGTTTTGTTTTTTCTGGTGCACGTGCATAAGGACGGGCGTGTGGGCGAGTGCCGATGGTTTTACACCATTATACTGATCAACACGTGGAGATAATAAAACAGAAAACTACAAAAAACAAAGATCAGCCAATCACTTATAGTCTACACCTGATGATAGCCCTGAGAGGAGCTCTATTGTGTTTCTGTTATTTTGTCCACCACATTTATATCAATGAAGGAGGCTAAATAACAGATCACGTGTCAGTATAATGCAATACAGTTCGACAGCACCACAGACTGCAGCCTCCATATTGATCATAGTTGAATCAACACCTCCCTGAAAGTGTTTCAACAAAGAATGAACATTATAACCTTCATGAGAGGACTGTTGTATTACTGCATTAGTTTTAGCTAGGTGTACCTAATAAACTGGCAACTGAGTGTATAATTCTGATGCATTATGTGGTAGAAAACACACTGGTACACACACACAGACCAACATACACATAAACACACAGATGGAAACTCATAAACACACATGAACATTCATAGTTTCAGCTTGAGGTGATGATATGCTGTCACAGTCAGACCGGCCCCCAAGTCAGTATTATTGACTGATTATATCTGTGCTCCACCACTCCCCCTGCAGGGCATCCAGATGGTGTGCGCCGCCATAGACGATTGCTGGGACCACGACCCCGAGGCCCGTCTGACAGCCCAGTGTGTTGCCGAGCGATTCTACGACATGGAGTACCTGGACAAGCTGTCAGATCGCTCTGACTCAGAGGAGAAGATCCCTGAAGAAATCTTTGTGGTGGATGAGAAGTAGAGCGCAACAGAAACACTGCCCCCTACCAGAGTGGCAGAGGAAGTACAACCAAGCAGCTGGGAGAGAACAATATTCCAGTGGATGCATCGTTTGCAATGGGTTCGTCAGAAATGTTTGACGGAGGAGCAAACTGGAAAATCATGTAGAGGAAACAGAACTGATACCAGAGATGGACTTCCATAAACAGATCAGGACCAACTTTAATATAAACAGCAGTGACTGACTTGATTTGTTTTCTCCTACATGCTTCACAGACTGGATCAAGTCGTACATAAACAGGGAAATCACATTGTAAAGCTTTATTAACCAAACACTATTTGCACTTTACTGGTATCTATGCACACCAAATGATATATATTCAGTGTCTTTTTTGATTTGACAAACCATTTCAGGTAGGAAATAAAGGGAAAACACGTATTTCAAAAAGGGGATTAAAAGGTGCAATGTAAAGTATTAAGACAGTTAATAACACTAATATGCCCCTTAAATTTTATTCGACTGCATACTATAAATTTTTTTGGCCGGGTGGCCTTGGTGGCCTTGGATAGACATCAACAGGAATGGATGAAGCTTCAAGTATAATTTCTTGTGGTAAAAATGGAAATTGCCCACTGCAAAGAAATAGAAAACCAATCCAAGGCTGTACTCTGCAGGGAACGCTAATATCATATCACAAGGACTATGAATTGTAAAATAAAGACAGCAAAATCGGCCTGAAAGGAAAAAGGGACCAGATATATATGTGTATATGTGTGTGAACATAAACGTGTGTGTGAGTGTGTGCGTGTGTGTGTGTGTGTATGTGTGTGTGTGTGTGTATGTATTTGTGTATTACTCAGAGGACCAAGATAATAAAAGGAATAGAAATACGTATAAAGGATTCTAAACTGGAATTTCCTGCCAGCTGCCTATATGCTTTAAAAGCTGAACTTCTTTCTAGACTTTTAATTTTGTTACTGAATTCTGATCCAGCGGTCAGAAAACATCTGTATCAAAGTAATTTTGTATAAAAGTGTAAAGCCATAATTAAACGTATTACAAACTTTGTGTGTCCGTTTGGTGGTTTTTAATGGTGTCATATTGGTTTATACTTTGACCTTTGTTGCCACTGAGTGCATTTTACATTGTGAACCACTTTCATAGAACATCTGAACTCCTTTACTGCCTAAAACAAATTATTTTCAGCTCCACTCCAACAGGAAAAGATGACCGATCGAGAGCAACCAGGAGGAGAATCATGTAAAATTTGACGTGTTTAGCTCTCATTATTACAAATAAAATCACAGTACTATCCATTATTCTACATAAATGCTATACTTAAAGCTCCGTTATCCAATATTTTGGATATTTCTAACCTTGAATCAAGTGATTCACTGCTAATGTTGCTAATCCTACTGACCTGCTCATCAACAGTGCAGTTTTTAGCAGGTTTCGTTGTTTTGAATTGCCAGACCTCCTCCAGCATAAGTGCTCAGTTGACATAGGAAGAAGGATTCATATCTTTAACTTAATTAGAGGGTAACTTCAGTATTTATCAACCTGGACCCTATTTCCCCATGTTTTTGTGTCTAAGTGACTAATGAGGACAACAATATTTTAAATTGGCCCAGTATTGAGTGAGAGCACTGCACCTGCAAACTTCTGCAACATAATCCTTACGGGTAATTGCACACCATCGAGTTATATACACTAGAAGTCCTTGTTTTTGCTGCTCAGATTGTCATTATAAGTGTCTAAAAAAATGATGCAAAGTTACCCTTAAAGTAAAATTCTCCATTAGAAGCAAATAGTCTACATTCTTAAAGTAAAAGTAAAGTACAGAATGAGTGAGAAGTGTTATGGTTCAGTCATTGTAGGTTGTCTTATTTTGTAGATCTTTGTGTTTCCTGTTTTATTTTGCTTTATTTTTTCCCTCTTGTTTCTGATCTTCTCACTTCCTTTCCTTGCGTGTTACCAGCCAATGGTAAGTGTTTGCTCCTCCCTCAATCACCTGCACCTGCATCTTATTACCTTACACCTGCTCACTGTATAGTCTCTGTGTTTTCTTCTCTCCTGTGCCAGTTCGTCTTTATCTGCTCGGTCAAGCGTACCAGCAGTATTTCTCCTGTTCGTGTACTTTGGTTTTTCTGGATTTCTGCCTGCTGTTTGACTAGCCATTTGGGCCATGTTTGCCTTTTTTTGTGGATTACCCGTGTACCGAACCTTGCTTCAGTAAAAAAGAACTGATTTACCTCTGAAACCTGTTTGTGTTTTGAGTCCAATCTGAGGAGTCATGAGATCCTGGTCATCTCTGCAGTATTAGCAATTCCAACTAAAGGACCAAACCAAAACTAAAACACCAGTAAATATTGGTCCTTTTGTCTTCTTCCTTGATGGAGAATTTCTATTTAACAACAATGAAATAATACATTGCAAGTAGAATGGAGAATATTTTAATATGGAAAGATTGAATGTAATTTATCACTGAAGGACTCCTGCAGGATGACAAGCTCGGTAAACTCATGATGGTAGCCGCCCATCAGTTTCTCTCAGGAACAGGGAGTTTATGTTCCAGTCCTAGCACAATGTGACACAAACTTAAATCATATCGTACGAGTCATACATGCATGCCCGTGTGTATCATCATTATAGGACATAAACCTGCATATTCCATCGTGCATACTATATACACAATGCATTTGCGTGCTCGTGTTAGCACATACACACTCACGTTCACTCTTCTATGCACTAAAAAACACTTCATGCTTCATTTATGATTACACTGAGGCCACCAAGGTGCTTCAAATTGTGAGTGTTATCCAAAATATGGCAAAGACGGTGTTGTCGCACATTCTAATGGTGGCAGTTCTCCATTGATTGACAGACGTTGCCTAATGCTTTTACACAGAGAGAGAGGAAGAGGGTGTGTGTGCATGTGAGTGTGTGGTGTGTGTGTTTGCTGAATGAAGCCAAGGTAAGAAGTTCAGCTGGTCCACACAGTGTTTGGAGTGTGCAGTCTGCAGTCTGCAGTTTGTGACGCTGACAGATCTTTCATCCTGAGCCCATCGTTGACTCATACTGGAACATGTGTCTGTTACTGTCTGTGGCTTTCTGTCTACCTGTCTATGCCACTATTTGCCTGTTTTTCTGTTTCTTTGCCATCTGTCTTTCGGTGTCTTGCAGGCAGCTGCTTTTAATTCATCCACTGGTTCCCAGAATATTTTGCAATGTTGTTAACAAGGCTCCACTGGGCAAAACTTAGACAAAACTATAGATCAGTGTTTACAGAGGGATCATAATCTACAGGAAGAAACGGAAGATACATATACATACATACAGTAGTATGAATGTGTCATGTCAGTAAGTATGTGTTTTGTGTGATGTAGCTTGCCTTTATTCGAGCTGTGTGAGCATTTCTGCCTCCAACACTCATTACATCAAAATTACCTTTCTTTCATTCAAAACACATTAACCTAGGCTGCAATTGTGAAGCAGCACCACTACAAAATGCAAACAAATGCACTTGGGAACAGGAGGGAAGTGATTTATCAGCTACAGTGGGCTGCGCTGTCATCTTGTAGGGAGATTTCCACTGCCCTTCCTGCAGTTTACATGCTCTATTTACATAAACTATGCCACAGGCACACTTTGTGTGGGCTGCACTGCAGATAAATTGGACACCGCTGCAGGATATACATGCTCAGGATAAATGATTTATAATTTTACATAATAAATGGATTACCACAGGGGTGCCAAAAATAACAAAAGTAACATTTCTCTTCGTTTTTCACAATCAAATAATGCGATGCCAATTTTCCTGCAGCAAAGGAGTCAAGTTCTCAAAAGAAAGATACAATATTTAAGAAAGTGAAAGCCTCTAAATACCTCCTGAAGCACTTCTTTTTCCTGACACATTTCTTAGTTAATTTGTTCAGTAAAAGAATTATCTCTTTCAATAGCAAATTCAAATTAGCTTTTGCAGTTGTGTTTGAGGAGCCACAGAAAAGGTGCAGTTTGGTTAACAGTGTGGGACAAGTGTAAAGCAATTACAGGTAAATCATGTCGCACACAGAGTCACTCAACAATAATCCTATTATGTTCAGTCCTGGTATGCCAGTTCATATTGCTGTACCTTGCAAATGAATTTGCTGATTTTTTTCTTTGGGTTGGAATAATAATAAAGAGAACAAACAAATAACATTACATGTTGTGTCTTCCAGTTTTTGGCTTGTTTGTGATACCATCTCAGTTTGTGTGTTAATTAAGGCAACATGGGAGCTTGTACACACTTATTTACCAGCCAGCCACCATTGCCAGCAACACTAGAACATTTCCCCCGAAAACCTGCATTTTGTCTTTTTGCCAGTAGAGGGCGTAGTGGTTCTACTGGATACTGCATACAAAGACAGCATTTGTGCCTTCTGGAACCAACAGGGTTTAAGTGCAGGATCCAGTGAGCTGACGTTTGTGCTTTGAGGGTAAAAAATGGAAGCACTGCTCTGTGAAAATGAAAGGGCTGAGCTCAAGATGTGACAGGTCTTTCCATTACTGAGTCATACTAACCAGTCACCAAACTCTGGAGTCATTTTGTATCTTGGTGGGACTTAATTGCATTTAAACAGCTGCTGTTGGCAAGCATAACTTAACAAATTTTTCTCCCTCTGATTCTCTCACTCGGTTGCGTCTCTCTCTCTCTCTCTTCATTTCTCACAGTGCTTTCCATCACTCGCCTGTCACAATGCATCACAAACTATAAGCTCAAGACGACGAGTGTACAGGCCCTCCACTGGTACTGGTTAAACTCCATACCTGCGGCACTCTATGTATTCTTGTCAGCTGCTCAATCATGATACTTTCCAACCTGATTAACCCTTCGAGTGGGAGGCAACAGCCGGCGAGAGTGTTTAGCCAAGAACAATTCGTCATTGCATGCACGTATATATACAAAGAGGCAAACGCTCACACAGCCCTTAGGTGGTCTTAATAATCCAGAAGGAGATACTCTCCTGCCAAAGTCACTTATCGTTCCCACATGCTGGTTGCCATGGCGACGCCTCATACATCAATCAAAGTTGCTGAGGAGTGCGTTGGTTGGCGAGAGCTATAAACAATATTTTAAGTTCCAGTAAGGAGATGACAAGAAAGACAAATTACTCCTTGCTTCGGTGTCACCTCCTCCCTCGGCTCTCCGGGTCCAGTTAACGTCAAAGGCCATTTCCCCCACCATCCCAGTCGTTTTACAGATCCTTTTTTGAAAATTCCAAATATCCATATGATTTAGGTGTTCACTTGACATA